TACCTGAGGTTATTGGTAAAAATAAAGAAAAAATATGCATGAGTCACATTAACATGGAAGCAATTTATGGATATAAAAACTGCGCCGAATATTAATTCGTGCTCAGTTGACACCTTTCAGGGAGCAACCTTGTAATGTGCTTTTCTTTCAAAAACGCAAGGCGCTATAAGCACTGGAAAAAGCGTGAACGAATGAATTCTGCCCAAGACAGTCATGGATTTCGAGTTAAAGGGACGATCACACGGTTCCTTCTATGCGACGTCAACTGTCCCTGTTTTACTTGCCTTGTGCAAGTTCCGGGTTGCACCTGGGGGTAGCCTAAGTGAAGCAGTAATTTGTGCAGGTTTCAAGATAAATAGGGATAACTTTCAATCCGTATTAGTTCGGGAATTCGGAACAGTTTTGGAAAGGTTCAAGAAAGTAGAGAAAACACATATCGCTAACCAGAATGAATGGAGTTGTAGTACCTAGATTTCCGTACTTGAACTTTAGCTTCCACCATGGGCGGAGATTCCGGGAGAATGGAGGGGATATCCCCCCTATACACACTTTAACAGGGGAATGACCAATACAATCACCCCACACACTTTTCAAGCCATTGACTCTGCGCACCCTTAGCATGAACCACAGACGGCAAACTTTCCAACGTCACAGTCTTACCTGGGATGGAGGCCGAGCGGAACCGTCAGAAATCATCCGTCCCCCACATGTGACAAGAAATCTTAGCCCATGCCTTCCACACTCATGAAATGGTTACAATAAGACCAAGGGTGGGTCTTCTTTCTGTGTATCCTCAGTTGTGTTCAAGTAAGGAGGTTCAGACCGCCCTGGCTCCCTCCATGTTGAGGCTTATCTGCTGTGGTAGGGAATGCCGTCTGCCTATACATGTTGAGCAATAGCCGTAATCTTTGTATCAAGCGTAATACCTTTGCCTTTTTTGTGACGAAAGGGCCCGTTAAATACGAGTTAGCTGTTTCAGGTTTCGCTGGGGGGGGCACAAAAACTGCAAACAAATGTCAACTCAGATCTTTTCTCTGTCTTGGCACTCAAAAACAAATTGAACATCGAGTGTCGTCCATATCTTTCATGCTGTCTCTGTGGATTGGACAAACACAGAGCAATTTGAATCCGAGCCAATACCTGCGGTCGTAGGGTAGATGCTACACAGTCATTTCTTGTGACGTTTACTTGCATCGGTATGTGAGTATTAGCTACGGTCAACATTTTCAGTGGGGATCCCCTGCCATTAACTATTGTGACTGAATAAACCTAATTTAGGTTGAGGTCTCGAGGCCCTTCTTTGTCGAAGCTGTCTTCAATTTGTTCTTTGCGTGTGTGCAGGCGTGGCATACATAGTGTGCACCTCTGCACAAAAGAAGTCCACATAATGTAGGGTGCGATGCGCTTATACATGGGGCCTTGTAGGGTACCTGAACATTGGGAAGTACCCCACAAGGCCAGTTTTTACCTTGCGGGGTACCAAAATTGGTCCCCCACAAGAATTTCACGAAACTGATAATTATAAATAACTCAAAAAGGGGAACCTTTGATGGGTAAAAATCCGTCGCAAATTGAAGTGTTTTATATAAGGGACATACGGTTGAAATTTCAACCCAGGAAAGTGAATTTGGTTTAAATTGGAGTGATTTGAATTTTTTGCGTGTTGTGTGGGAGTTTTGTACACGAGAACAAAGGAAACACCCCATAAGTATAGCTGTGTAAGGGTTGGTAGCGTTGAGTTTGTTTCTGCATTCAATTGGGGACCTTGAACAATAGATGACAATAAGGTCCCCGATTGACAGAGGGTCCCCGATTGATAACTGTGTACAAAACATATGGGTGGTCTTCTAAAAAAGTTAAAGTACGAACAAAAGAGGAACAATAGGGGGTCCCCAGTTGCAGGCAAATACACACTTGCATGTGTGTGTGTGTGTGTTTTGTGTGCTTAGTTTGTTTGGTTGGCGGTTCGAATTCCATGGAAGGCCGGGTGGAGGTATACTCGACAGGCTGGGGCTGGAACAGTTTGTGATGACAGTTAGGACATCAACGAGCCTTGGCAAACTTCCGGCTCTAGCTTTGGTGAAGGTTTCGGGCTGGACATATTACTAGATAATGTTTGTTGCACGGGCGTTGAAGCGACGGTATGATCGATTGCCTTCATTGCAAGCTGAGTTTGCACAACTGTGCTCATTATGAAGATGCTGGGATTCGATGTGGTAAGTTGTTTGCTACTTGTGTCATTGTTTTCAGTCCAACGGCATGGTCGAACGGTTCAATCGTACCGTGAAGACCATGCTGAGCATGTTTGTGGATGAG